TGTTGGGATTCAAAAGAGACCCTAGGAGGGGAGTTGGCTCAGGGGTTAAGAACACTGGTTGGTGAATAGGACCCAGAATCAATTCCCAGCTCCAACGTGGCAGCACAAACGATCTCTCACTGCAGTCCAGGGGATCCAATGCCCTCTTCTGACCTTCATAGGCACCAGGCATGTGGTACACAGAAAGACATGCAGGAAAAACACTCATTCACATAACGAATAGTATTTCCCACTGTTCTCAAAATGCAGAGTTGTGGAGCCCAGGCACAAACATATATACAAGTAATATTGTACAGAAAGAACAGGTTATACATGTATATTTAGGAATATACATATATATGTAACAAAATTAATGAAAAGAGAGTACATGAACTTTAAAGAGAACAAGGAGAGGTATTTGGAATGTTTGAAGACAAGAAAGGGAAGAGTAATATGAAGAAATTTTATTATTTTTATATATTTTATTTATTTATTTAGTTTATTATTTTATTTTTAAATCACAGCTATAATGGAGCTATTCTCACTTCAGGAGTCTCAGGGTCCCATACTAACAATGGCTAATAACTCAAAAAGAAGTCTTTCGACTGGCCAACTTGTAACATGAACTGAGAGAGAATAGATAACTCAATATAATCAATCTCTTCCACAGAAACACCTTGGTGTGTGGTTTATGTGTGTACATGTGTGTTGTGTAAATGTAGAGGCTAGAGTTTGATGTAGGGTATCTTCCTTAAGCATTTTCTTTTCTTTTTTTTTTTCTTTTTTTTTTCTCATTTTTTGACACAAACGAGACTGTTTAGTGCAGAGATACTGTTATGGTCCTAGTAAAGTGACCCCAGGTAAGGAGGTGCTGGGCCCCTCAGTTCGGAGCTGTGTGGGGAAGATGGGAGGGACAGAGGGCTTTCATCTGACCCTCAGAGTCCCAGCTGCACGGACCCAGCAGGAAGCCTGTAGTGGAACCAAAAATCATTACTCACCGTTTCAAACAGCTCCTCCATCAGCCCGTTTACTTCTTTTTCTGTGAAAAGGCAAAGAAGTATGTTAGCAGAGATGAGTTTCATTTTGTAATAAGGAAAACCTTTATTCTCCCAAGGCATCTGAACAAATGCTCATATCCATCCTTCAAGCAGAAACTCAAAGAGAGTTATGAAACACCAACTGTGCTTCAATTCCTGTTCAAGATGCTTGGGGTACATGGAAGATCAAAAGACAGAAGTGTTGTTATCTGTGCCTGAGCCACAACACTCCAAGGCACGCCAGCAGGCTTCGGACCAAGGGGAGAACAGAGGCTAGGGTGTCAGGAGGCCATAATACTTATGAGCAAAGAACCACTCGGAAGTCTGTGTCCTGGGCTGCATGTTTACTGGGCTGTGTCACAGGCTAGTTTATGTACACCTTGAAGGCAAAGGGTCTTGCATACACGGGTTGGACTGAGAGCATGCAGGCATTATCAGTTCAAATTCCAGAGTCCTGGTAAGGGAGAAGTAAAGGGAGGGAAGGAGGCACATCACTTAGTTTATCAACTGACAGGCTGTCAGCAAAATAACATGTTGGCACAAGCTTTCTAGCAGGGAAGAAAAGACTTGCTGGCTTTTAAAATGATGTGATTTTTGTCCCTATGAAGAAGATCCAGGATTTTCAACTGGAGTCTTGAATCAACACCCAATTCCTACCACAATATCTGAGAGATTTTGGTGTGCAGCAAACTATCCCAAATAGTTTGATTCTAGAATTCCACACATTTATTTGTTTGTTTGTTTGTTTGTTTTGGTTTTTCGATACACAGTTTCTCTGTGTAGTTTTGGTTCTTGTCCTGGTTCAGTCTGCAGGTGTCCTTGCAGGCCAGAAGAGGGCACCAGATCTCATTACAGGTGGTTATGAGCCACCATGTGGTTGCTGGGAATTGAACTCAGGACCTCTGAAAGAACAGTCAGTGCTCTTATCCACTGAGTCATCTCTCCAGTCCAGAAGTCTCCTTTCTTAAAGTTTAAATTCTAGTGGACTGTTCAATATTAAATGATTTTAAAATAAAAGCAGTTATAACCCCAGTTCTCAGGAGGCTGATGTAAAATAGCTGTTCAGGAGTGAAGACCATATTGGCTATGTAAGTCAGTGGCAAACTCAGGCTACATAATGAGATTCTATCTCAAAACAAAATGAGAAGATGAACAGATAGATATGGACTTGGAGTACTATCTGATAAAGCAAATACATAGTGTGTGAAGACAACAGCCACCAATCCCAATAACCTCAGTTTGATCCCCAGGAACAACATGGAAAGTAGAAAGAGAACTGACTTCCCAAGTTGACCTCTGTGTCTACAGTTGGCAGGTCCCTTCTGCTTGCAATGGGCCTTTTCTGTCTTGTCACCTTTCACTGAAAACCTCTTAATCATGCTTCAGTGGCTAAAACGTCTTATCCTATGAATCCTTCCTTCCCTAAGACTTCTAAAGAAGAACAACCTCTTTCAACAGACTGGCACCCCTCAAGCAAGCTACATAGCACCTATCACTTTCTATCCCCTCATTAAGCTCATTGCCTGCAAGGCAGGAGCCATGACCACATTCATTTTGGCATTCAGAGAATAGTACAACCCTTACCAAATAATAAATGCCAAACATAGAACTATAAGGTGTACAACAGCAACTTTCTGCATATGCTCTGTATTTAAACAATTACAGAAATAAACAAAGGAGACTTAACTGTCTAAATATGAATTGGCCCTCAGCCTCCAACACATCTACAGAGTAAACAAAGACATGCGGACAAGACAAGAACGAACAAACTAACTTACTAGTGATTCTCACTGCACGGTCAGTACGGAAATCCTCTGTGTCTGGTTCATCAAGATCTTCCAGGAAGTTATATTCTGGATCATCATCATCATCTCCTTCATCTGGGAGAAAAGATTTTAGACACTTTTACAAATTCTGCCTCTTTTTTTCCCCAGTCAAAGTCTCTGTCTCTGTCAATCTCTGACCCTCACTGTGTATGTGTGTGTTTGTCTGTATATATATCTTTCTCTATCTTCCTGTGATTTTTTTTTGAGAGAGTCTCACTCTGTATGCCTAGTTGACCTAGGACTCACTAAGTAGACCAGGCTGGCCTCGAACCCACACATCTGCCTGCTCCTGCTTCCTAAATTAGGGCATTACAGGCATGCATCACCGTACCACCATGCCCAGACCCCCAACCATGAACCTTT